ACCATGGAAAGTGGCGAACAATTCACACTTCGCAGATCCCCAGGGATGGCGAGGTCCCGTTTGGATATGCGATGCCCCGCATTGTGCTGCCCGCCCCCAGCAGCTCCTCGAACGTGGCGACAACTTCACACTTCGCGACCCCCTAGGGATGGCGAGGTCCCGTTTGGTTCTGCGATGTCCCGCGCTGTGCTGCAGCCCTCGAATATGGCGACAGTCACGCTCTGTGCTGCCCCTTCCAGCAGCCCTCGAAAGTGGTGACAGCTTCACACTTCGCATCCCCCCAGGGATGGAGAGGTCCTGTTTGGATCTGCGATGTCCCGCATTGTGCTGCCCGCCCCCAGCAGCTCCTCGAACGTGGCGACAGCTTCACACTTCGTCACCCCCCAGAGATGGCGAAGCCCCATTTGGACCTGCGATGTCCCGCACTGTGCTGCCCCCCCCCCCAGCAACCCTGACTAGTGGCGACCAATTCACACTTCGCAGCTCCTCAGGGATGGCGAGGTCCCGCTTGGATCTGCGACGCCCCGCGCTGTACTGCCCAGTCCCGCACTGTACTGCCCCCCCCCCCCACCGCGGCCCTCGAAAGTGGTGACAGTTTCACACTTCGCATACCCCCAGCGAGGCCCCAGGCAGGACAGCGAGGCAGGGGGCATGCAACCAAGCACATGCAGGCTGGCGAGAGGAGCGAGGGTGGGGCGGGAGGTCTTCGAGACCTACTGCTCGATTCAAAACGAGAATCCAACCACGGGGGGGTCGGGAAAACAATGCAAATCGCCTCAAATGCTCAATGACCAAAAGGGGTTCACCACGAATGAACTGCCACTTCCTTCGAGAAGCGGACATCCCGGGATCCCCCAGAAACCCTGCAGGGCCCCCAGAGACCGCCGAAGAACGTTCACACCTCCTCGATCCTCTATCCCCCCTCCTCTTCGACCCTCCCCCTGCTGACACCCCTTGGCACTGCCCGAACAGGCGTTGGAGGGCGACGGCAGGGGGGTGGGGCGCCTGCGGGGGGTGGATGGGGGCGGCGGCGGCAAGGGGCAGTAGGGCTAAGTCGGGCGTGTCCTCCTACAGGGGGATTTTGGTCAAACAAAAAACAATCAACAAAATATCCCACAGTGGTAAAAAATATTTAAAAACATCTTCCCCAGACTATTTTTTGACTATTCTTGAATATTTCTCCGGTAGAGGGACAGGCCCGACTTAACAGTAGGAAGCAAGCGGTGGCGGTCCTGCCGGGCGGCCCGCCCGAACTCGGCTGTCCGGATGTGCAGGCTGAGGTGGCGGCTCTCGGTCTGGAGGCCGCCCAAGTGGGATCCGAGCAACTGGGTGCGGAGAACTGCGCTGCATCGCCAAGACGTCGGGGACGCAATCAAGCAGGCCCTGGATCGAGCCTCGGTGACGATGCATCAACCATGCGACGTGATCCGGCGACCCATCTGTTCCGATCCCATATGGGCGGCCTGAGCGGTCTTGGGTACGATATTGTTGTCGTCGCCGGTCGCTATCGGCAATTGCTTGGCGTCTGTGGCCTCAATCTGTCGTAGTCGGTCGTCATCGGCAGTCGATCGCGTCTTTGGCTTCATGCTCCATACTCCCCATCTCCTGATTCATCATGGGGTTATGCTCTCGCACGGATTTGCCAAACATCCGATATCTTCAGTTCTGGCACGACACCAGGCCCACGGCCCCCCCCTCCCCCGCAGCCAGCCGCGCTGCTCCCTCAGCAGGCAAAGCGCCCCCTCCGCCCCGCCTTGAGATTTTCGGTGCGGCACCATCCCCCCGTCCCCCCCGCAGTGAGCCGCGCTCGTCCCCCAGCAAGCACCGGGAACGGCGAGAAGGTCTGGCTCAAGAAGGGTGACTTCGACGGCTGCCAGGGCGCCTCAGGTCGAGCTGGGGAGCATCCAGTCGGGCTGCGGGGGCCTCCAGTCTGGCGAACCAACCTTGTCCAACGAACCCTCCCAGCAACCTCCGACAGCAGACGCACCCTCCGACCCGACTCGCCCCTGGCCCCCGCAACAAGCCGCGCTGGCCTCGCCCGACCTCCGCCGTCCCCGCCACTCGTCCCCGCCCTCCTCGTCGTCGTCCTTCTCCGCCGTCGTCCTCGTCGCGGCTGTCCTGGTCGTCGTGCTCGCCGCCGTCATTGTCGCCGGCTCAGCGTCGTCGTCTTCCTTGTCGTCGCTGTTGCCGCCGCCGTCCTCGTCGCTGCCCTCGCCGCCGTCGGGTCCCGATCCTGAGCCACAACGCAGGCAGTGGGGCTGGCATGAAGGAAAAAGGTCGTGAGGGAGGAGTGCTGGACACAGCTCTGCAATCCTGGACCGTTCTCGTTGGCACTCCCAGTGAGAGGGGAGGACCACGAGGGGGCCGAATGCGGTGGAAAAAACAATACCTCAGGGCCCGTTTCCCTCACAACCCCTCCTTCATGCCGAGGGGGGTGGGGCGGCCAACCTCGTCGAGGTAGCCGTTGTGCCCACAATCCACCGGCACGAGGTACCCGAGCCTGCCCCCGCGTGCACCGGGAGGCGGTCAGCGTGGGGAGGGTTAGATGTTGGTTCAGGGGACCTTCCTTCTGCGTCGATGCTGCATTGAATGTCCATCAACGTGAGTCGAACTAGAGGCGGACTGGATTCGAACCAGAGTTGAGCAGATTCGCTCGGTGGGCTCAAGGAAGGTCACCCAAACGAGCATCCAATCAACTCGAGAGGGCGACCGATCGGGGATGGAAAGGGGGGTCCTCAAAACGGCACTGAACCTCCGCAAGGCTTCATCCCAACTCGGGGACGCACTAACCCGGGTCAACGTAAACCTGGGTCGGCCAGGGCCCTCTAGCGAAGTCCGGCCGCTCAGTTGCTCCCAAGCCTGGATCAGCGAAGGGCGCAAAAGGGGAGTCGGCCCCACGTGGCTCCCAACCCTGGGTCAGCCAGAAGGAATTGGCAGACCCTCCTTTAGCGCTGACCTCCGTTAGGTGAGGCCCGACCAGTGCTGCTCTCTTCGGCCCTGGTTTCCTGGAGTTGTTTCTTGTGGGTGCACAACGTCATCGAAAGCGCGCGCACACTTGAGCTGCGTTGTGCGCGGGCACAAATTTCGCGCCCGCGCCGGGCCCGCGCGCAGGCAGGCAAGCTGTGCGCGCGGGCCGCCTCCCGCTCTCCTGCGCCTCGCGGCGCGCAGCTCCACGAGAAGGGCTCGCGCGCGTGAGAGGGGGCGTCGGCATGTGCATTGCTGCGCGCGGCCCCGCGAGAAGGGCCCGCGCGCGCACGGGGCGAGGGTTGTTCTTCTGCTTGCATTGCGTTGCGCGCTCCGTGCAGGTGCGCCGCGGGGATGATCGCGGCGCTCCTCGGGGTCGTGCGGGTTGCAGGCATTGGCGCCTTTATCCTGCAAGCACCAGCGCTCGCGTCCCGCCTTCGCGGACGGCGCTCGCGCTTTCGCCCCGCCCTCCCGCTCCTGGGGACACTTGCGTCCCTGGCGCCCCGCGCGTCGGTTCAGACTGGCGCCGCCAGGCTGGGCGTCGCGGGGGGTGCCGCACCCCTTGTCAAATGGGTGCAGGCACCTTCGGGTGCGGGGCTGCCGCCGCAGCTGAAATTTGTGCAGGCCGAGCGGGGCGCAGCACGGAGCGGTCCCTACTCACGGACGCCGTGATCCTTCACAGCCAGGTCCTTCGTCCCGAGGCTCGGTGGTTGACAGTCCCAAGGCTCGGCGAGGGCCCCCAGACGCCAAAAATCCCACCAGCCCTGTAGGGCGTAAGTGGCTTAAAGGCCCCCCCGGACGCCGAACATCCCACCAGCCCTTTAGGGCGCAGGAGAGCGCTTCTCTTCCCCTTCTTCCCTTCGGGGAAGGGTTATCACTGTTCCTAATAATATGCACCCTCTCCACCACCTGACCAGGGGTGAACCCGGAACCACGCCAACACCACCCCCACCATCCCTGTCAACAAAAACGATGCGAATCGCACGTTGCGGCAAAATCTGGATCATGCGCGGGCACTAAGCGATCACGTTGCACTGTTCCCCAACCAGTGCTTGCACTCAAGGGTTCATACTTGTGGTCTCAGGCATTGGGCCTGAATGTCGATCTGGAGGCTATGTTGTCGACGTCGCCGCCCGCCCCATCGCCGCCTCGTCGCCGCCCGTCGTCTGGGCCTGAATGTCAGTCTGGCAGCTCCGTTGTCGCCGTCGCCGCCCCGTCGCCACCTCGTCGCCGCCCGTCGTCTGGGCCTGAATGTCGGTTTGGCGGCTCCGTTGTCGCCGTCGCCGCCCCGTCGCCACCGCGTCGCGGCTTCGCGCTGCTTTGCATTGCTTTTCAGTGGTTTGCATTGCTCTGCATTGCTTCGCATGGCCTTGAATTGCATTGCGTTGCCATGGCGATGCATGCGGTGCATTGCTTTACGCGGCTTTGCACTGCATTAGGTTGCATTGCGTTGCGTTGCATGTCTTGGCATTGCTTTGCATTGCGTTGCACTAAATACATGGATTGCACCACCTAGGTTGCATCTCATTGATTGCACCATCTCGATAGCACCATATATATATATATATATATATATATATATGGGGAAGGCCTTACGGTCGGTGCCGCCAACCCCGACGGGGGACGATCACGACGACGACGACGACCACGACGACGACGACGACGACGACGACGACGACGCGACGGCGGCGGCGTTGGCGGCGACGACGACGACGCTGACTTGGGGCAAAGTCCTCAGGGATGCTTTGTGGGTCCTCGTCGGAGCGCGCTCGTAGACCCTGGGGGGCAGTTTTGGGGCCTTTTGGGAGCAACTTGGGAGCCTCTTGGTACCCGTTTGGCGGGCTTTTCGAGCTTCCTGGGGGCCTCTTGGGTGCCTCTTGGGGCCTCTTGAAGAACTTCTCGGGGACGAAGGCTCGAAATGTTAGTTAGTTCTGGCTCCTGTGTGGGCACCCTCTTGGAGCCGTTTTGGGGCCTCTGGGGCAGGTCTGGGAGGCCTCTGGGGCCGTCGTGGGGCCCTCTTTGGTCGTTTGGGAGCCGTCTTGGAAACCGCTTGGGGGCCTCTTGTGCCAATCTTCGTGGTATCTTGGGGCGTCGGGAAACCGCAAAGGCGAGAACGCCAGTAACTTTTTCAAATACCTAAGGAATTAATGGAATTTTGCTTGTTGGGACGCTGTTGGTATGATCCCTCTTGGAAGTTGATTCGAGCGTTTTGTCAGCCGCTTGGGCTGTGAGGCTATTTGTGACGTCTTGGACCAATTATTCGGCGTATCGGTGCTCTCTAGGATAATATTTGGAGCCTCTTGGGTTGTCTTGGGGCCTTTTGAGCCCCAGGACCCCCCAAAGGAGGATGGTGGTCTCACCCGGGACCCCCCCTCCCCGGACCCCCTCCAGGACCCGCCCCCCCGGGGCGAAAAGATCAAAGGGAGGGGGGCTGCCTTTCAACTGCCACGTTGCTCGTGTTCGGTTCGACTTCGTTTGAGCTGTCGCGCGTGAAGCTTCGGTTCGGTTTCGCTGTGGCTGGGGAGCTGGAGGAGGAGGGCCCATGTTTTCCAAAAAATTAGTCGAAAAAGGCGCCTCTCGTCGTCGTCGTCGTCGTCGTCGTCCTCGTCGTCGACGACGACGACGGCGACATGTTTTTCCAAACGCCGAAGGGTCGGCGGATGGTAAGACACCGCCGTCATATACTGCACAGAAGACGTGGCACAACGTATATCACCCCACCGGACAGAGAATTCGGACCTCCCCCCCGAATGATCCGCCCGCCTGTTCGCCTTGCATGTTGCATCCGGAGTGCAAATTCTGATCATCCCAGCCCAACTGGTATCGACCCCCCCCGCCGTCGTCGGCCACAGATATATGCGCGCACGCGCGTTGATGAAAACATGTGTTTCCAAGAACCCGTTGCACATAAACAACGAACTGCACACGCGCGCGTCGTCGCGCGCGCATGCCTAAATTATTGGAAAGCTCCACGTGCCGTAAAGATTTCAAAACCGAATGTCTTGAAACAAATTGAAATCACGTGGTACTGCAACATCAGCTTTCGAGAAAACGGTCTGCTTTTGCGCGCTCTGATGAAATTTAAAGGACACACTAGGCTTTCAACATTTTTACCAAGTTCAGCCAATTGAGCTACTTGTTCGCGCATGTGGACATCATTCGAATTCCTTCGCGCGCATGCTGGGGGGGGGGGGCGGGCGATCGTTGTCAAATAATGCCACGCTGCCCAGGTCGTCATGAACCTCATGCTCATCGTATTTCTACGCTCACCCTATCATCCTCATCTTCCCCCATGGTCTTCCTCCCCCTTCTTCTCCTCATCCTCGTCCTATCCTCATCCTGATCCCCACCACCGTCATCGTCATCCTCCTCCCCATCCGTATGGGAGGGCTGTGACCCCCTCCTTTTGACCACGGGATTCTTCGAGTGCCCTGCCCCCCTCCTGCTCAGGCCATGACAATGAGGCCTCCTAGATAGGGTCCGAGTAGATGGGGTTGAAGGATCGCGCCGCATCGCCAATGCATCGCCGATGCATCGGTGACGCATCGACGAAGAAGAAGAGGGACGTACGAGCATGTAGCACGAGCCAGGAAGACGCGGCAGAAACTCTGGGCGAGCCCCCCAACAAGAGTTGCCGACTCTGCAGATCAGCCGCCGATCAAGAAATAGCATCCGCCGACCCCTGGCCAATCGAGGTGCCGAGAGGCGTACGGAACATTCTCACGTCGACGTTGGTTCGGAGCCCCTGCCACAACTGGTTCATGGTGATGGCCTGCCACGCTGGTCTGCCGTGCTGGTGAATCGAACCTCCCACGCAGCCACCTGATGCCCCACAAAGCAGCAAACCAAGCCAAGTGAACAACGACGATCGTCCCGACACCTCCCCAGACGCTCCAAACAAATCGCCACGAAGCTGCTCCACAGGAGCTGCTTGGCCCCCCACATGCCGAACGCAAGCCCAAACAAAAAACAGCCGCCGCCCCTGCAGCTCCGCACCGCGAAAGACCACTCGGTCAGTCGACAACAGCGCGCAAGTATGGGCCGGCGGAATGAGCGAAGCGATTCAAAAAAACCACACTGCCCAGAAGACACCCTAATCGTCATCGACGTGATCAGCATCGGCGCCGACAATGGCCTTGCCGTCGTCATCGGCATCATCGTCACCATCATCCCTACTATCATCATCGCATCGACTGTTGTCGGCATCGCCATGATACCGCGCCCGGCCAACTCACTGGCTCGCACTGAAGTGCCCACGCGTCAGCGTGGCATGCGAAACGCGCTGAAAAGTTCCCAGCGGTCAGCGTCACCGCGGTCGCGCCAAACTAGCTGGCCGCTGTGAGCGCGAGTATGCGCGGGCCAGCGCGGCCGCAGAGATGCACCAACCAGCATCCAGCATTCATCGTAATCGCCGCATGGGTTTTGCAAACCCAATTGCGGGTGGGTGGGTGGGTGGGATGATTGCGCGAGCAGCAAAATTCACAACTCCAACTTCTTCAAAACTTACTTCCACAGCATATATTGCACCACTTCAAT